CCCCCCGTTGACAAGGAACAACGAAGCGAGGACTCGTTTTCCGACTCGTGCGGGAACAAGGAGCGTGTTTTTGCCACCCGCCCTTGCCTCTGAACTCTCCTTAAAAAGCAACATGAAGAAAGGGAATAACGAAATGACATCAACGGCAGCAGCAGCAGCAGCAGCAGCAACAGATACAGAGGCCCTATGACAACCAAGACGAAGAGAAAAACTTCCACTTCTACCGCTGTCGTTCCGCGGAAAAAGAAAAAACAACGGCTGCAAAGGAAACACGCACCCTCGTCGACCCTTCGCGAGGAAGGCGACACGTCCGAAACGTCGTCCACTTCCTGCATGGCCCACTGAGACTCTTTCTGCGATTTGGTCCTTAGGAAAAAGTCGATCTGATCCACAGACGCCGCCTTGCTCTCCTGTTTTGTTGTTTGTTATTAGAAGGTGTTAGAACAACAATGAGGGAGCAAAGTATGCACAATCATGTACTACCTCAGGATATTTTGGACCAAAACGGTTACTTCAACACCACACTGTTGGGAACTTCACAGCATTTATTTTCGAGAGCTCTTGTGCTTCTGACGAGACGCTCTTGCTGCAATTACTTCTCATACCAGTGGACATTCACAGTCCTTCACTCTGCTGGCATCTGAACTAAAACCCAAATTATTTATCTTAAAGTCAAGCTTGAACCAAAGACCTTCATGGCTGGAAGTCAGCTAAAGCCTTCAAAGCACCAATCGGTATTTGAACTTTCCCCGTTGGTATTCATGGGAACACGACACTCGGCGGTGCCTCTAGCTTGTACCTCCCCCCCCTAACGCGCCCCCGCCCTCCTGCTCGAGCAACACGGTCATGTTTTTTTACAGTATCTCCCGCTTTTATTTCTCGTGTGCACGAAAAGGTCTCCTCGCTAAGGCCTGTCTACTCCTTTGTTTCGTGAAGAGCGCGTCCACGCGTCTCACTACTAGGTCTCGTGGGAGGGGGGGGGCGGGTACTCATGCTCTGCAGGCCTGAGTTGTTAGGTCATTGATCACACGTCCTCGAGAGGACAAGAGGGCTGGGTGTGTGTGTGTGTACTCATAGCCATGCATGTCGACGTCGTTAGAGCGTTGACCTCGCATTCCTACAAAAGTCGGGGACCGAGCATGCCGGGTTTTCTCGGGGGGTGGGGGGGTACTCTTATGTTTTCCGTGCCTTAGCGGTTAGACCATTGACCACGCGTCCTCGAGAGGACGGAGCATTGTTCCCACAGGACCGATCACCGACGGCTAATCGTTCCTTCCTACTTTTTGCCTACAGGTGACTCAAAAATGCCTTCCCTGGTCTATCTACCCCATCGATGTCACGGAGGGGGGGGGGTACTCATAGTCGTGCATGTCGTGGTCGTTAGACCGTTGACCTCGCATCCCTACAAAGCCGGGACGGAGCATGCCGGGTTCTCACCGGACCAGGCTCTCACATCACCAAGCGCGAAGCGCCGTGAGATATTCGGCGAGTCGCATGAAGGGTGCGCTGCATCCTGCTAAGGGTGTTCGGCATCTTGTGCTTACTTCCTTGCGTACGGATGACAGCTGCGTATGACTTAGTTTATTTTCTGGTACTTCGCTTCCAGAGACAGTTGAAAGCACTGCGCAACTGCCTCGAGGATGCTTGACCAATTTCAACACAACGTGGTGCGACCATCCCCCTTACGCGGAGTGAGGGTTCTCCACCCCGCACAACATGATCTACTCGACCACCATTATGGAAACCGCCAAAAAAAAACAGAGGTAAAAAAAAAAACGGAAACCTGGTTGCCGAGTTCACGAAGTGAATTGGCTTGTTTTACAACGTCGTTCCAAGCGACGGAAACCCAACCCCGATGGCAAACACCGGGGGGCGGGGGGGACAAAGAAGCTGTCGCTCACCGGTCGTTCGGACGACGCTGCTGCATCCTCCTCCTCTGCCGGTCCGCCTCCTTCCTTGCCTTTCATCTTCCGTGATATGCTGGCCGCGCGCATGAGGCGTTCGTCCATGGAATTGAGTCGTTGCGCCGCCTGGAGGAATGTCTTCTGCTCCTTTTCGATCTGCCGTTTCGCGATTTATTTTTTACGTTGTTCGGACAGGCATGAAGCTGTGAAAGTGGCAATACACAACACAGCTTCGCGCTTTTTACAGCTGTTCCAACGCAAGAGGCTGTGCACTTAAAAAAAACAAGACGATCACAGTGTGCCGGAGCACGTACGCTTTTTCACCATTTTTTGACCAACAAGAGGCTGTGCACGGGAAAAACGCTCACACACGCTGTCTGTAGCATCTGTAGCATGGCCGCAGGAATGCAACAACTACAACAAACGAAAGGAAGAAAAAAAATAGAAATTGCATACTGCTATAGGATGATTCTTGCCTCTTCTGAACAGGCGGCGGCAGTATGAAATTACACTCAAGAGCGTTCCGCAAAAACCCTTTTTGTCACTTTTACCTGCGGCTAGAGAAAATCCCCCTGCTTCCACCAAAGCTCCTGCACGTGCAAATTCAATCTGTGAAGAAAAACTCACAAGCAGCAATCGACACAGTCCTAGACCACGACGACACCCAACTTGCAACCCAGAACACACCAGACAAGCACGATAAGAGTTTCTCCTACAGCCTACAATACAGCACTCTCTCGCGATCCGGCCAGCGTCGATCGCTTGCCAGAAGTCTTTGAATACGCGGCGCGTCTGAATAAGCCCCCCTTTGACACGCCAAACAACCCATGGCAAATCTGGTTTGGCACAGGAAGCCGCAATAATCATGACCAGCTTGTGGTTCATCCTTGTGATTGGAATATAGTACAGTCTGGCCCGGCGACACCCCGGCATGTCGCTCCGTCCCCGCTTTGTAGGGATGCGAGATATGATGTAACGAATACGGCATGCGATAACACGATTACCCCTCCCCCCTGGCATATTGCTCCGTCCTCGCATTGTAGTGATGCGAGGTCAATGGTCTAGCGACTACGGCATGAGTTTACATTAGTACACCCCCTCCTCCCCTTGACACGCACCTCTTCGTTGAGCTTGGCCAGCTCTCCCGCAAGGTACTCTGCTTCCGACATCGCGGAAGCGGCCCCGCAGCAATCGCCAGGGAAGCGTCGATTTCTACGGAGAGGGAGAACGAAACCACAAAGAAAGACACATCGTGGCACGCCGTCAGCCAACGCCAATACGCGAGTCATTTTTTTTTTTTGACACAGAAAAAAATCGTCTCTTCCACAGACGCAAGTCTGGGATAGATTGGCAATGAATTCATGACGTTGCATGGTGACCAACCTGTATTTCGACGGCTCCCCGAGCAGCAAAAGTGTAGCGATATCTTTCTCGTGGGCAGCAAATATGCGAGTCTTTGTTTTACGTTCTCTTCACAAGCCGTGCACAACGACACACAACTGAAGATTACCGCGAACCAACCGTGGAACGAGAGCAATCCTTCCACGAAGGAAACCGCCGGCGACAAAGGCGACGGCACAACTCCCGTTTCGACTCCTCAGGCTCTTGAGGGCGGCGGCGGCCGCGGCCGCCCATGCAAGAAAAAACGACACCCATCAAGCCAAGCCGCAGCAATATTTGGCACAATTCTTTCTGCAGGATGCAGGATAGCCCTTGCGTCAACCCCCCCTCCCTCGCCCCTGCATGGACCAACAACAAGCGAAGCAGCAGCAGCGACAAAACCGGCAAGCCCAGCAAACAAGTTTTAACCTTTCTAAGGCGCGAATCGACCCCCTCCGCCATACGTCCATCCTGCGGAGTCTCTTCTCACTCACTTGTGCTGAACCACTTTTCCGGTCAAGAGCTGGAGGGACCGCGTTTTCTCCAGCCTGTCGGCGACGACCTCCCGCCTCTCCACCTTGGCCTCCAGGTTGGGCATGTTGAGGCACATCACCGCGCTGTGCGGACGGGAAAAAAAGGGGCCGATCAAATGAAGGGGGGGGGGGGGGGGGGGGG